AACGGCAATTTCAAATCGATAACGGCCAGTCTTTTTGGAAAGGATCAATACTGTTAAACAATTCAATTTTAATTATATTTCTCTTTTATCGCCTTATCTAGCGGTCAGCTGCAAAATAATGAGTGGTTGACACCGCTGTGTCAGAAAAAGGTTCTTTCGCGCGATAAAATAAATAAGCAGACATAACAAAAATCATAAATGGTCCACCTTCGATTTTGTGACGTTATAAGTTAAAAAACGTTCTTCCGTTAAATCCGAATTTTCGATATCCGGCTAAAGTCCGGTCTCATCTAGTCCGGATTAGCGAGACTCTACTGTATATATAATCATGAAAAATCGTTTGAATAATGTTATATTGTAAATTTGATTTATATACAGAATGATTCACTTACTGTAAACGACTTAATTTATCGAAAATCTAAAAAAAAATATTAATAATTTCTTTATTGGCTTCTTTTAGTTTAATATTTTTCTCGTTATTTCAATCACAACAAAAAATTTATACTTATTCTTTAAATCTTGACACGATATTTAAAGGTTATTAATTAAATATAATAAATTAAATGTAACACCATGATTAAAATAATGGAGGATTCAATTTATTACACCATTAATAATATCCATAAAATTAAATAATTAAAACACGGTTGACAATACTCAAATTCGATATGAAGTCAATATATCTAAATTTCGTTTATTGATAATGGTCTAATTAAGAAAATACTGTTCTATGGCAACTTTTGGACCAGTATTTTTGGAAGTTAACATAAAATTGTTAATATATATTAATTTGTACTTTAAAAGTAATGCCTAGAGGTGATGAATGGATGCTTATATTATTATAACTAAAGATTTCTCGGCCGTCGTACTCTTCTTCTTACCTTGATATAAATATGTCAATAACTTTCAAAATACTGACCCAAAAGTATACAATTGGTTATTTTTTTAATTAGATCATTATCTAATTAATAATCTAGTGAATCATGTGTGTTATCATTGGAATAATTTAAGTTTAGTTTTAGTTTTAGTTCTTATTGAGGTGGACATAATGCCATGCACTCAGAGCTATTCGTCCATTGTGCGCACGTCATACCGAATTGTCTTGATTCGGTTTACCCACCTAAGTGTTATCACCAAAGTGTTAATACATTACCAACCATAAAGTCACCTCTAAAGATGACCAAAGAGTCCTGTCTTTCTGGCGAAATTAAGTATCTCTCTGGGTTTTAGGTTTTTAATATCCTCTTTTTCATGAAATGGTTTATTCAAGTAGTTTGATCTTAGTGTGGACAAGGCTTCACATTCGCACATGATGTGAAATGAGTCTTCCTCTTCAACTCCACACTTCCTGCACAATGGTGATTCCGATACCCCCATTGCGTGTAGATGCTTAAGCAGGTGACCATGTCCTGTCAGTAGACCAGTCAGGGTGATTATTTGATGTCTAGTCATGCTATTAAGACCATCCAGCAATAAACCAGGGGTCTTGATAAACACTTTAGATTGTCTAGGTACTACCAAGTATTTCCAGATTTTCCTGTGTTGTTAGATAGTTATCTTCCTATTTTTGTATACCAGCAGGTTCTGAGCCTCTACCAGTATTGCCATCACCTCTGCTTGGAAAACGGAGGGTGTTGTTCCCAATGACATACTGACATTTATTCGTGGCTTTAAGCCCCAAATTCCAGCACCTACCTATCCTGATTTTTTGGATCCATCTGTATATATCACAAATCCTCCTTTGTCAGTCAGGTGGTTAATATTCCATATTCTACGTGTAGTGATAATCACTTAATAGGGAATGTTATCCCTAAGAATCGGTTTTATATAGTCCAAGGGGTATTCCAAAAAGCCCTGGTCTATCTCTTTTAGTATTTTACCATGTTCTGTTGTATCACTCTCCAAAGTCCACATACCTAAGTTGTGGAATCTTAGTGCTGTAGCTTTGGCGTGAGCTTTCACCTCTAGATGCAGAGGAGGCAATCCAATTAGTGCCTCTAATGCGACCGTTGGTGTAGTTCTTAATGCTCCAGTGATGGCAATAGCAGCCATTCTCTGTATGCGACTAAGTTCTTTCCTAGCTGTAATGAGTGCTGTTCTGGTCCACCAGACCAGGGCACCGTACAATATCATAGGTTTAATCACTGACGTGTACAACCAATACATAACTCTTGGTTTAAGACCCCATGTCTTTCCCAAGGCTCTGCTGCAAGTCCACAATGTGGTCATTGCTTTTTTGATTCTTGACTCAACATGTGATTTCCATTTTAGCTTACTATCCAAGATAATACCTAAGTATTTTACTTCTGATTTTAAGCTAATTTCTTGTCCATTCAGAGTAAGAGTGTCCAGGTTGTCTAGTCCTATTCTCTTTCTAGTGAACATAACAACCTCTGCTTTATTTGGATTAACAGATAGACCGTACTTACTACACCATATCTGTATAGTGTTAAGTCTCTGTTGTGCTAAGTCAATAATAGTGTCTGGGAATTTACCCACCACTGCTATAACCAAGTCATCCGCATAGGCTTGTGTATAACAATATTTGTTTAACTCTCTAATAAGCGAGTCCAATACTAGACACCATAGCAAGGGGGATAGAACCCCGCCTTGTGGGCATCCCTGTTTGACACTCTTGATTACTTTGGTCTCATTGAGCTGTCCCAAAATGGAGCGTTCCTTAAGCATGGATTCTATCCACTTAATAATAAGTGGTTCTATTCCATGCTGTTGTGCAGATTCACACATAGCATCGAAGGGAGTATTGTCAAAAGCCCCTTCGATGTCCAGGAATATACCTACTGCATACATTTTATTCTCTACAGCTTTCCCTATCTTAGTAGTTAAGCAGTGTAGAGCTGTATCAGTAGATTTCCCCGTTTGATACGCATGTTGGTTTTCATGTAAAGGGTTCTCCTTAAGAGGCCCCTCCTTGATGTACCTATCAATAAGTTTCTCCATAGTCTTAAGAAGAAAAGAAGTAAGACTTATTGGTCTGTAGGATTTTGCTTCATAATAGTTAGTGCGGTTAGGTTTGGGTATAAACACTACCCTAACCTTACGCCAGCTTTCTGGTTGATAACCATAGGCAAGGCATGCCCTAAATATTTTGCAGAGATGGGGGACGATTATCTCTAACCCTTCTTGCAGAAGTGCAGGGAAAATTTCGTCACAGCCTGCAGCTTTAAAACTGCCAAAGGCTTTTATTGCCCATCTTATTCCACTTGGGGTTATCACTCTCCTGGTTAGTCTCCAATCAGCACAGGTCACTCGTTTGTCCTGTGCGTCATGTTCCTGTTCTCTGTTGTTAATTGTAGAGTCAGGAAAATGTGTATTCATCAAATGTGATAATGTTTCATTATCATTATTGGTGAACATTCCGTCTGGCAGTAGTATTGCCTCGACAGTTTTGTTTGGTCCATTCCTTAGTGATCGCAGAAGTCTAGTTGCTATAGGGAGTTGTTGTATATCCCCACAGAACTTCTTCCAGCTTTCTCTTTTGGACTTTTTCAATGCAGATTTGTAGTTCCTTTGGGCGTCCTTATAGGATTCCCAGTGTTGTTCCAAACCTGATTTCATTGCTTTATTTAAGAGCTTACGTGAACTCTTTCTTAATTTAGACAGGTTAGCATTCCACCAAGCTACACCCTGCCCTGTACCTTTCCTTTCTATTAAAGGACAGTTTTCTTTGTAAGCTGAGACAATGGAGTCCTGTAGCATATTTACAGCCCTTTCAGTACTCTGTCTCGACCCCAATCTAAACTGTAGGTTAATCAGGTCACGAGAGAGATCTGCCCTGTATTTGTCCCAGTTTGTTCTTTTCGGGTTCCTATAGTACTCCGTCTCAACTTTGTTAATTTCCAAAGTGAATCGTAAGTGCCTATGATCAGAAAGAGAAGGTTCGGAGGACACTTTCCACCCTTTTATCTTTTGAAGTAACCCTTTTGAACAAACTGTCAGATCAATGACTTCCTGCCTGTTCCTGATAACAAAAGTAGGTTCACTACCTCTGTTTAGTATAATTAGGTCTATAGTCAGCAATAGATCCATTATAACCTCTCCTCTTTGGTTGATGTTACTGCTCCCCCAAATAGTGTGGTGTGCATTAGCATCCATACCTAGGATTAGTTCTAATTTTTCATTTTTGCAATAATTAAAGAGCATAGTTAGGTCCCTACTTGGGTCTGTGACCTCATATGATAAGTATCCTGAAGTATAATATTTTTACCATCATTTAGTGTTACTCTAATAATAGTGAAGTCTGCACTTAATAGATTAAGTATCAGGCTGGCTTTAACTTTATTATTAACCAAAATGCAAGTTCTTGGTTTATCTGCTTGTTTATGAAACAGTTTAAAATTCCTTAGATTAAGCCCCTTAATCTGATCACCATTTATCCATGGTTCCTGAATAAGTGCTATTTGTAAGAGTATTGTTGCCTCTCAGTTAGGGTCCTTAGTAATACACTGCTGGCCCCTTTACTGTGATGCAGGTTTATTTGCGTGAATTGAATTCTATTGTCAGCCATTCAGAAAAACTGATGTTGACGCTTAAGAAAGCACGCTGTACTGGGTGTGATACAGGTGTCTGAAACAGTCCCTGTGTCACACAGCCACCCCTGTGGGTGGTGTTCCCCCGCCGACCACAGGTGGCGACCGTGCTTTAGGTTCACTCTCCACATTTCCTTTTGGATCCGTGGAGAGGTTCCCCTTAGGTGTAGCCGTTGTTGAGGGTGGCGGTTTCCTGGGTCCCTTTCCCTTACGTAACACACTTCTTCCCTTCCCTTTCGAGGCAGGAGTAAAATTAATACCTTCTCAGCTTCGCATCGAAGCTAAAACACATCATAGTAAAATTAATACCTTCTCAGCTTCGCATCAAAGCTAAAAAGGTGATTCGTTTTTAAGTATTATAATAAACTTATTGTTCCAATATTGTTGTGATTATTCATAACAATATTGAACATAAATTGAATATTAATGTGACAAATAAAACAACATCAATAATATTGTAAATTTATATAATATTGTAAATTTAATGTAATTAATACAAATTATTATCACCTTAATAATAATACAGGAAACAGTACAGACATAAATAAATAACGCAAAAAATAGTATGAATATATTAACAGATAAAAATTAAACGTTATTATAATTATTGTGTTTTTAACATCAGAGATGGTTGTCACATAAGAACCCGGCAAAATTATAGTTATATTCTTAAAAAATTTCGAAATTAAATTGTGAAAAAAAATAGATTTTATTTAATATAATAACATACTACTTAATCAATAATATTTGCTTCTATTTCGGGACATGTGTCTATGTAATTTATAAATGATCTAACTAAATTATAGTCAGTATATTCAGAAAGAGTATTAATTTGTTTTAAAAACATTCTTGTATTGAACAAACTGTAATAATCTACAGTTTCAAGTTTTTCAGGATTATGAGCTGGTTTGTTTGCTCTTTCAGGGTGTTCCTGACCAAACAAAAAAATTGGCGCTATTGCATAACATTTCAAAGGAATACAAATATCGGTCAGAATAATTTTCAATTCGGATTCTAATTTAAAATAATGCTGTTGTTTATAATTTGGAAACTCATCTTCATCTACTGAGCCATTTTTATTTTTTGGAATATAACTAATGAATTCATTGATATTTGATGTAATTTTAACAATATCAGAATCATTTTCTACACATGTAAGCTGAGAAAAATTATTTAATATTAGTAACCATTCTTTTGCAAGATATTCTACGACATTGATATTTTGGTGTTGAAGGTACAAAAAATGTTTCCAAGTCAACCTTAACATAATGACCTTAAAGAAGTTAAAGAACAATACATAATAATTCTTAATTGATTTAAAATTTCCGTCTGACCAGTCAAGTGAATTAGCTCTTTTAAACATTACCAAAATGTCCTTATTCATATTAATACTCCAATTCACTTGGACATTATATTCGTTTTCTAAAAATTGTAATCCTTGTTGATTTGTTACAGCGTTTCTCATGAATAATTTGGTTTTAGAAATTCGTTCGAATCTTTCAGGTAATATTAATTCAGGACTATTGTGTATTTCAATAAATTTATTTATTGTTTTACTATTTTTTAACAATAGTAAATTTATACTTTTTATATTCGTTATTTTTTTGAAATTGAGATTTGTTATGTCAACATTAAATTCGTTTGACTTATCACAATTTATTACATCTTGTTGCAACATTTGTATGACATAATCAAGAGCTTTATCAATATATTTGAATCGATCGTCATTTTTCGTCATTTTCTGGCCGTCATTAAATTTAGGTAAAAATATGATTAAGCTACTTGAATATATATATACTAACCATAAAGATCCAATTTTTTCTTTAGCTCTATCATACAACGTACTTATTTGTTTCTTAACAATTTGGTTGTACTTGCATATATGGACTATTATGCGTAACAAATGTTCTTCATTGCCTTTTAATAATCCTTGAGTAATTTTCATATAAGTCAAGGCACTAAACATGCAAGAACATTTGAAATACTCATGACTATTAGTTGATTTTAAATCAGTCAAGCTCGTTGAATTAACTAATCTGTTCATGCGACAAATTAATAGAAATAAAAGTAACTTAATTGCAATTGATGTCATAATGTTCATTGTATTTTATTTTGTTTTTCGAAAAAATTGAATTTTTTTTATATTATATTCAATAAATGAATGTGGTTATATACAGAATTTCGTGTGAAGTATGTGTATATTGTTTAAATTTATAATTATCGACAGATGTTTGCTTCATTTAAAATTGAACTAGATATATCTTTAAATCGTTCTTTAAATAAAGGACTTTTAAAGCCATTCCCTAAACAATTCAATTTTGTAGAAAATCAAGATTGGTTTCAAAAATTATTACAAGTTATTCAAACAATTTACATTTTACAAAAATATTCCAAATTTATTAGACATTAACAAATTGATGAAAGAAAAACCCATAAGTTCTAAATTGAAATATTAATAAATCTAAATAAGGTGATTACAAAAGAACCCGCTAAGCTTAGTGAAGTGCAATATTGTACCGAAACAAATATGAACAATTAATAGAAATTATTATGTTAAGGACATCCAAATGTTCCTAAATCGACAAGATTCCTTGTTTTTACAAAGCGATTATTGTAAAACAATTTCAGTTATAGAAATATTTGAAAAACTATTGTAGTTTTAAAATTAAACATTTTTGTTGTTTAAAACTTACAAAAATCAGTATTATACTTACAACTCTAAGTTTTTACATTTCCTTTCTTAATTTTCAAACGATTTTCATTGACCGAGTTGGTATGAACTTATTTGCTTTATTCAATTATTTTTCATTTATATTTTATTTCTGTCAGTTTTTCACGTTGTTAACTACATTTGCCCATCTGTTAATATTTGTGTCAAGTAATTTTATTCGATATAGGTCGCCTCATGCATAAATGTCGTGTGTGCGTCATATATTGCCGTCAACGTATGGCATTACTTGCCTGGTTTGATAGAGTCCCCATATTTCAAATTAAACTTCATTTTTTATATACAACTTCAAAGACTTTTTATATTTATCTTGAATGCTTTAAATTTGGAATAATCGAATACAAAAATATTTTAATAATTAATTGATTAATTTTAACGAGCCAAAAAATTTAAACTTATTTAAATTGCAACTTAATATTCGTTTTTTTTTTACTTTTATCTATTCTCAAAAGCGTTTTGTAATGCTTAATAATATTTAGAAGACTACTAAATTACAAAAATTTTTTCTTATGTCCATATTTTAGTTATTTATCTTAACTTGGACTAGGAAAAGTGTCAGATATCATTATACTTGACCCAACTATGCCACATTCCCACTGTGCTGGGTTTCGTTATATTATAACAAATATTTTTTTTGTGTTTTTCTCTTATAAGTTAAATTTTTATTTTGTTTGAAATGTAATTTCAAAGCTGCAGGTCTGTTACTACCTGCACTGTTGTATTTATTTTGTGTACCATAACGCACGGGTGGGGCGGAGCTTTGCCGTCTTTATTTGAGTCCTTAAATAAGTTAGTTGACCGTTATAGTAACAACGTGGTAATCGAAAAAAGAAAAAATAAAGTAGGATAGTAAACCAATATAATTTCTTGTTAATTAATACAGTCCATAAAATCTCGAACAATTATTTAATGGATTTATATTGATTTTGTAAAAAATATTTAACTATTAATTCTACAATGATATATAAATAATTTTAAAAAATAGTTATAAAATGGTTTAACAGAAATTTAATGATATACTGTGATAAAAAGAAATATTTTCTGAAGAATATCTAAAGTAAGTGTATATTTTTAATATTTGTAAATATCGACAGATGTTTGCCTGATCTTTATAATTAAATTAGGTAATTCTTTAAAGTGAACTTTTAGCGTTTTTTTTATTTAAACTTTTATTGAATATAAGTTTGAATATTCTTATTGTCGATAATAGGAAATAAATATTTTAAAAACATTATTACCAATCATTTTAGTAATTTTTCAAGTTTAATAATTGTATAAAAGTTTTAATAATTTATTACAGAAATTTTATTTAAATATTATAAAAAAAGGATTTTATAAATTGATATAATTGCAAAATGATGTATAGATAATTACAAAAAAAAATTTTTTTTTAATATTTTATTAAATTATTATTATGAAAAGGTTTTATAAACAATACATTTATGATGACGTACAGCAGAGTCTCGCTAATCCGGTCATCGCTTATCCGGACAATTTATATTTCGTACTTTAATACTGCTTTATAATGTATCTATACATACACATAAATATTATTTATATCAATGTTGATTGTATAACATAATTGTAGGTACATATATGTAGGTACCTCTACGAAATATTCGGCAATACCCATGATTAAGATATGATAGTTTCAATTACATATTGTAATATTGTTTCGTTCAGTGGTGATTGTGTGCTCGTGTCGACCGTTACGTTTATTTTTTCCTCCGCTTATTTTAAAAACAGTGTAAAATTACAACTTCGGTTAAACGTAGGAAAGCGACAGTAAGGATAAAAACTTCAAGCTTTATTTCGTATTGATGCTGACGAATCACTAACAAAAATTGCACAAGAGTTAGGAGTAAGTAAACAAACCGTTTCTGATTGGAAGAAAAATCGAGTAGAAATTGAAAATTTTTGTGCCAAAATGGTGAATGTGGACAGTTTAGGTAACAGACCCACGTTAAGAAAACCAAACAAAGAAACTTTAGATAAGGCTTTGTCTGTACATTTGGTTTTATCAACAACGTGAACAAGGCCTTCCGTTGTCGGGTGTAACCTTACAAGTTATCGCGATAAAATTTAATGAAAAATTGAAAAGAGTTCCTACATTTACTGCTAGTGTAGGATGGTTGTCACGGTGGAAAAATCGACATGGCATTCGTGATCTTGGTGTAATTGGTGAAATTTTATCAGGTGATAACGTAGCAAGTGAAGACTTAGAAAACAAATTTGAAAAGTTTTTTAGCGATCAAAACCAAATGCCTTGTCCAATATTTAATGCTGACGAAACAGGATTGAACTACAAAATGCTCCTAAAAAAATCATCCCAAAACAACAAGTTAGTTAACTTTATGGATCTTTTAAAAAATGTATTAATAAAAACTGTTCTTTATATAGTCGCAGAAGCGTGGGAAGAAATTAAGCCAGAAACACTTCAAAAAAGTTGGAAAAAATTGTGGCCTAATATTCCTCCAGAAAACTATGAACAAGATGAAACAACTTCTAATGAGGACATTGATTTCATTCAAGTTTTTAAAGAGTTGGACGGTTGTGCCGACGTGGAAGAAAATGATATTTCTGAATGGATAAACAATGACACCGATGTTGGTCATTAGGTTCTTAGTGAATGACATCGTAAATGCATGTACTGAAAACACAAAAATTGACAGTTCAAAAAATGAAGATAATGGTACAGATCAATCAACAAGCCCGACACATTGTGAAGTCAGTGCAATGCTGGAGCAGTTGATGACTTACTTCGAAAAATAAAGTGAAACATCTTCTGCTGAGCTACTGACTTTAAGGCGTCTTTGACATCGCACAGCGAAATTATGTTATTCTTCATTAATACAAAAAAGTCTTATTTTCTTCTAAGATTAAATTCTAAAATATTTTTCTAATATTCAATAAATTTGTATTGTCATATGACCACATAATAATAATAAAATGATGTAATGTAAAATTGTAAATAAAATTACTTTTGAATTTGTATAAAGACATAAGGTGTTTTTTTAATTGTATTAGTAAGGTTGCAAGTCGGCTTTTTTTTATAAATTCGCCCATAACAACAACATGGTTTGCCACTTGCATAACGACTAGCTATAGTAGCAAGGGTCACCACCACCTAGACGAGGTGTAACACCTATCATACATGATTAACGGACCATAGGTGGAATTTAATTTTAAGTTAATTAAAAGTATAATCTAAGTTAATATGTCGTTATATGTATAAATTACTAT